ATTTGGTGGAGATTGTGTGAGGGAAATAAAATTCTACCAAAGAAGCATTTGTTTTAGTGCAAGGTTTGTTATCATCGCAGTTGTATCCGACAACTGGTTTCTGTGCTCCTGAGTTGTATAAAATATTTTTATTAAAAAAGTTCTTTTTTATATTTCTTCTTATCAAAAACATATGGATGAAAAAAATGCTTGTTCTCACCGTCAACTTTTCCTAGAAACGCAGAATCTGTTAGATGTGCAAGAGTTCGTATTGCAAGCTAATGATTCTCTTGAAAAAGATTAAGTATCAATAACAAATGTTTTATTGTTAGCATTACTAATAACATTGATTCAATGATATGGTATTAATTTTTTGAATCCAGAAAATTACAAACTATTTTTCAAAGTTTTTATTTCAAATAGATTCTATTATCTGTGTGACTTTCGATGCGACAAAACACATACATTTACACGAAAGAAAACAACAGCTAGTATGTCTTAGTGATCTAAACTTTTAGTTCGTAGAAGGAAGAAGTTGAATGTGTAACGTTCGACAAGTACACGACTCCGTCCCCTCCACTGATCTGTTTATTACATATATATTTTTAAAATACAAAATAGTTAATTTCAATATAATACAAAAATGAAAATAGTTTTTTACATGAAGTTTTTTACATGAGGCGCAATACTGTTTAAAGTTAAACTAGCAATATAAAAGTATGAACATTTTTTAAGTCAATATATTACTGACTTTTCTATAAAAAATGATTCGACATGTTTTGTATTTCTAATTTATGAATTTCATTTTAGCAAATGTATGTGTTTCATTTTTTTGAATGTTTTTTAACTGGCTTTCATGAACTTTACTATTAGAAAGGCTCTTATCTTTTATATCTAAATTTAATTTTTTAAGTTATTTTGAAGTATTAACTGTTATTAACATGACGTGTTTTAAAGTGTTTATGATGATTCTGAATTCTACTTGTCAAAAAGTTTATATAAAAATAGTTGCAAAATAGTTTAGAATAGTTTAACTTTTTTTTAAGTTTAGTTTACTATTTACTATTTGTTTTGCTACTAATAGTTAAATAACTATTTTTATTGCAAAATAGTTATAGTTTAACAAAAAATATTGCATCACTGGTTACTTCTCACAATTTATGTTATCTGCCTTTAATGTTAGTTTCATGCATAAATTTTATAATAAATAGTTTCAAAGATAAAACTAAAAAACTGTTCTCATCTTTAAATGAACTGTATTATGAAAACTTGAACAAATGCAATAATGAACTGCAACTTGTGGTAAAAATATAACGTTACAGGCTGATGTATTTTTAGTAGGTAAGTATTATAATTTTTGTCTCTATTATTCCGCTAATGAAAATAAATTTTAATAATTTATATGAAACTGTTTGAAAAATTAAAAGTGATTTCATCAGACCAGTTTTTAAATCGAGTCACTGAAAATGTGGTAAAAATTTTAATATACGGTTGATTTTTAACGTAAAAAATTTAATTAAACTTTCTTTGTTCTATTATATTAATATTAGATATTAATTTTTCAACTTTTTCTTATTTAAATTGCTTCCAGATATTCGTTGGAAAGTGCCAAATGAACCGCTTAATAGAGTGATTTTTCAGGGACCGTTCTTGCCCCATTAATGACTTTCCAAATTGATCCCTGATTTTTTAATGTATTCTCTATTTTGAAACATATTTTATCTACCTATAGATCATGTTAATGATAATTTGCTTATGTATTGTGAACTATTTTAAATTGAATGCTAGTTTAAATTAACATAAATATTTTCTTTGCATATTTGAAACTTTTTCTAACTTGACATCCGAAACAGTATGCGATTCAAAATCGTTGAGGATGTTTTCATTTTTTCAATAATAATAACTATTCCAAATGGAGAAAAACCAATATAGTTTATTTTTTCAGCTTCTATTTGGAACAAGTTTTATCTTTAACGTTCAATTACATAAAAATTTGTTGTACCATTTGAATGCAACAGTATATAATGCGATTTAACCTAAATTGAAATCGTACTTAAGAACTTGGCCATTGTAATTAAACGCGATTGTTTACTAACGTGAATTTTAAAAAACAGATAAATCATGTCCGCCTAACTTACGGTACCGACTGGTGTTAATTATAAATTTCATAAATTAGTCTATTCATTATTCATTATAACAAATCACGCATATTTTTCTAGTTATTCTTAAATTTTCGCTCGTCACACTTTGTATAATTTATGATTTATAATTTAAGGTTCAAATCTTCGCGACAGTTTTGTTTTAATGGCACTGAAATGTACGATACATGGGTTGACACATGAAAAAGTTCCAATCATCCAATGTTCAACTGTCATACTCAGATAGCCACATTACTAACATTATTAGAATTCATGCAAATTCTAACAAATTATTATTCTTATTTCACACTTTTACTTAAGGGTTTTATTTGTGAACATAAAATTAACTAAAGAGAAGTCTATAAAAGAATAAGCTTTGTTGTAAATTTATAAATTCAGGATATCAAAATTAAGTTGAATTATTGGTGAACATTTGAAAATTTAAAGAGAGCCAGCAATATGAACAAGATCGTGTGTCTTTTCCTTCTTATTTCCTGCGTCGTGTTAGCATTTGGTTAGTTTCATTAACATAAGCATAGTGCTCCTTTTCATGTTTTATATTTCAATGAAACATTTAACCGAGAAAATATTTTAATTAATGAAACATTCAATCAATAAAATATTTGAACGCTCAATCATTAAAAGATTTGATTTATAAATATTTATCCCAGGTTTCGAATGCCCGGTTTGTTGACTTTTTTGAGATTTTGATTTTATTTCGAATTTCAATTTTGTTTATTTTTGACCTAATTAAAGATTATTTTTTCAGTAAAATTATGTTTGTAACATTATATATTGTTGTAATTCAATTGATTTATTTTTTACCTCTAGCCATGCGGTGAAAACCAGTCTTGCGATGAATCATCTGGATCGTGCGGTAGTGCTTGATTTCGAGTTATTGTTAAACTTTAGAAACAACTTTTACCAAAAACATCAATAAATTTTAATTTAATTTTTAGTATGCAAGCCAGCAAACTGTCACGAAAACTTCATATGTCCCGGTGGTTTCCAACGCGATGCTGATGGCTGTGAAATCTGTCAATGTGCCTCTTGCATTGATCTATCGCATGTGTAAGCTTTATCGCTTTCTATGATAATCATTATTTTTTTTATAAATTTGCAACTGAGAAGTGGAATAATGTAATAACTTTTTTTTATTTTTGTTGAAAAAAAAAATTTTTTTATACAATTTTTCCAAAATATTTTTCTTATAAAAAATGAACCAATAATAATTTCAACATGCGGAATATTTAATTACACTATAAAATTTTTCATTAACAATTGAATATACATTTAATATAAGACTTAATTGTATTATTAAAATATATAAAGCATGAAATTTTTTACTTATTTTTGCAGGCCAGGCAACAACTAAATTGGTGTTGTGAGATTCGTTGTGACATCCAATGACAATTTATGGATAATGAATTCTTATTTAATTCATTCATTATGAAATGAAAATTTGCATACATTTGTACGTTTGTTTTTTTACAAATATGTTAAGTAATTTTGAAATAATTCAAGAATAAATGCTTTGATGTCATAAATCATTCAAGCAAACCTTTCCAAACAAATGAATTGAAAATGTTTCTAAAAGAAATATTTAAATTTATTTTAACTTTGGTCTGGGCGCAAGTTGTTCATTTCTATCACAAGCATGATTTTATTTATTAAGTTGATCATGTAATTTTGATTCGTATACAAATTGCAGACAGTTCACAAAGTTTGCAGCATTCAAGCGATCATAAAAAATACCCATGTTTTAGAGTTTAGCATGTGTAAGGGAAGCGAGCATTTGTGTACGCTTATCAATTCAGTTTAGACATTTTTAAGAAATTTGAGAATTTTTTTTAAGCATTTTTAAAAATTTGTTATTTAAAACATTCTCACATAACAATTGGAATATGCTTATTACTTTTGGTTGATCGCACACAACCGCCATTGATTACAGCTTAAAGCTAAGTTTGAATGCTATTGTTCAATTTTGAAAATAAAATTTAATTAAAAAACTCTATTGCAATTCAAATAATTGAAAATTTATTTTTTAATCACACACAAGATTACGTTCAAGTGCTATGGTTCAATTATTTATACAATGTGGCTTATTCTAAAAAGACCACTATAATTTAATTTATCAAAATTTATGAAAAACTAGCATTCTGTTTTGCTGCTATAGTTCAATTCCGATACCAAAATGTAATGGAAAATGCTTTAAGCTTTCATCAAGCTTCATTCACTGTTATAGCTCAATTCCAATAAGAATGTAATTAAAGAATTACATATGTGGTATGAATGAATGATTGTAGAGGTAAGAGGTGACGGTGGATGTAGATTAATTTGTTGGGCGGAACGATAACTGATTAAGTAGCAGTCGTTTGATTGAAAGATGATTGGAAGTATAGTCTGTTTCTTGAAGACATGAAAGATGGGTGATATTGAAATTGGATAATAATCTGTTTAAAGTTTGAACTTGTAATTTATAACTGAAAAAAATATTGAAACGCATTCACGTTTGTTCGGTTTTTATCAACTCACCGAAATACATTGAATTGATTTGGTTTGTTAAATAAAAGAACAAATCACTTATTACCAGCAGCTATTTTTGTTATTTTAAATATCAAACTAATCGTTGTTCAAATAAAGCAATATTCTGTTGGTTGAATTGAGTTTCAGCATTAGTTGAGAATGCTTCCATGAATATACAACAAGCTATGGTGAATAATGGTGGTTCGAGTCAGGACGATCTATTTTCTGTTCTGTGAAATTAAATATAAAATCAGTAGAAACTGCACTATTTAAAAATAATTTTCCATAATAACATGAATGAATAACACTAATAACACCTGCTTGCTAAATAATATACGCGATATTGTTTCTAACCATATGACTACTCAACATCATAAAAGTAAAGCGTTTACAACAACCACTTCAACAACAAAGCTATCTGAAATCAAAACAGCAAGTAAAAATCTTAATACTAATTCGTGGGCTGATAGATGTAGTAATTCAACTTCTAATCTTATTAATAATAATAAAATATTATATAGTAATAACCCTGTGAGTGAATCCGACGATGACGAAGGATTTCAACCTGTCGAAAAAGCCAAGAAAAAAAGAAAGTTACACGTTTCTCCTCAAGTTCACCAAGCTTCTAACAGCAATATTATATCTAAGAAACCGTTAAAAATGTATGGCACGGGCACTAATTGTGCCTTAAAAGCCTCTAAAATTATTGTTAAGAAGAGAACATTTTACGTGGGCAACGTTGGCCCATGTAATAAAGAAACAATCGAAAATCATCTCCGTTCCAAAAACATTGACTTCATTCACTGTTACCCAGTTCTACGTAAACGTAACCCTGAAGTTATTGGCGTCGCACAAAACAACCTTTTAGAATCCACGGCATTCAAAATCATCCTGCCGGTCGACGAATCATCAAAACTGACAAGTCCTGACATTTGGCCCAAATACGCTTTCCTTCGTGAGTGGGACTATTCAGCGACAAACATTCCAAGAACTGCTGAAGATAAGATTGCTAAAAAATCATTCAACGTGACTCTCAGTAATGCCCAAAAATCATCAGACACCAACTTTGGCGACATCAACACGAATCCTGTCATCGAGATGAAATCACCAAACGTTAACTATGGCGACAACAAACAATAACCTCAACCTCAACATTGTGGATAACTCTTCATCTCATGGTCTGCTCGAAGATGTTGATCCTGATCACAACGTCCTTAATGAATATTCAAATATTTGTTCTCAAATGATGCCGGAGAATGTTAACTCTTTCATTGGCGTTCATAATTTTTGTATTATGCATGTTAATTGTAGAAGTTTATTAAATAAATTCACTGAATTTAATATTTTAATTGATGAGTGTGGTGATAAATTTGATCTGATAGCTGTTAGCGTAACGTGGCTGAATGAAACTAATTTTAATCTTGTCAATTTGCCTAACTTTAATTTCGTTTGTAAGAATCGTACTGGTACCGTCGGTGGGGGTGTGGGCTTATTTGTCAGAGTTGGTTTAAAGTATGCGGTATGTGATAATTGTTCATTCCATAGATCAACGTTTGAATGTATGATGGTTGAAATATTTGTAAATGTCAATATAAATTATTTGGTTATTATTTTGTATCGTCCTCCTAGCTCTGATGTAAATTTGTTTTTAAACGATTTATCAACCCTACTTCTATCAGTTAACTTTAATGTGTTTACAAATATATATATATCATTGGTGATTTTAATATTAATTTATTTGATGACGATTATAGACACATTCCAACTCAATTTATAAACTTGTTAAATTCGTTCGGTTTTTTTTCACTTATATCTCTTGCTACACGTGTCTCATCTACTAATAAATCATTACTTGACAATATCTTCACTAATAATATCACCGGGCATAGGTCTGGTGTCATTATATCATCTCTTTCTGACCATTTTCCTATTTTTTCGTCGTTTGTCATTCCTTGTCTTAATTTACCTAAACCTTCTATTGTATCAATTAATTATTCTAGTTTTAATATTGATTTGTTAAA